TGTCACATTTTTGCACAATGTAGTTGTGAAGAGAAATTTTTCAGTTGTTTCCAATAGTACAGATTTTCTTGTTCTGTGTTTTTAGCATGTAGTGTTCTTGCATTATTAAAAAAGTGATATAATTATATTAAGCATGATTATAAACAGCAATGAACAAATTCCAAGACTTCATCCTGCTCAATGAAATCATGTCCTAATTTTTCCTTCTCATAAGGAAACTTTTATTGTGTTGGGTTTTTTTCATGGTTTTGGTTTTTTTTTAGACAAAATCCTGGGAGAAAGATTTAGGTTCTGTATATGGAACTAGTCTTAGTAGGAACTAAAATCTTCAGAATAATAATGAGACCTCTTTCGTTTTATTTTAGTATTGCCTTCTTACGCTTGTGTTTGTTAATTCTGTGTTTGGACTTTTAAAGAACTTTATTTAACCAAGCTGATACTTAAATGTTAGCCTATATTTCATATGGCTGGTGTTTGCATTTCATAAATGCTTATTCCAGGACACAGTTTAGTGCCTTGGCTGTTATTTTTATTGTAAATAACTTCAGTCAATTATCCACGGAATAACTCCAGTTAATGTAAGAACAAGCATTTAAGTTCATGAATAATCTTGTCTTCAAGTGAGTACATGTTTAATATTTCAGAACACTGTTATAACATTTGTTACAAGCAATTCAAGGCAGGCTATGAAATCAACTCCTGATAAGCACTTCATGCTAGAGCACTAATTTTAGAGGATGTCCTCTCTTGCAAAACACTTGTGTGCATCTTTCCCCGTGTTTACTTTGCACCCAACTGCTAATGGCAGCATTCCAATGGATGTTTGAGCTGCCCTTTCTCTGCTCCATTGCCACCGTGAATGGACCAGACTGGCTTCTCAGTTCTCAGAGATAATGAGCTTATAATTGCACTACAATTATGCTTTCAAGGACGACTCAGACCTCCTTGCAGTTACCCATCTAACCTTCCTAGAGGCTGACAAAAGTGTCCCTAGGGCACTGCAGTGTGATGTGCCTGCCCAAGCCTGCCTGGAAAGCTCCCCAAGAGGCAGTGGCATCAGACTCTCCCAAGCTCACTGCTTCGTGGCTTCTCTTGTCTTTCCAGACATCCCTCTTCAGATGGAGGAAATGGCACTTGGTGCTGGCAGAAGCCAGAACTTTCACCTCTGCTGTTTGTTTTTTGCATGTGGATTGCACTTCTGTCACTCTTACGGAGTTGGAAAGTTGCCTTCTATTTGTGCTTACTGGCAGAACATCACATGTGATGCTTCTCAGCATAAGACTGGTGCTGCTGATTTGTTTCTTCAGTTTTTTTCTGTTAGATTATAAATATGGCTTGCTTGGTCTGGTTAAGCTATGTCCTACCCTCCCTGCCCCAGAGCTCATCTGATCAGCTGTGCACCACAGCTGAAGGTATTTAAAATGCCCACCTGAAAGGACCTGGAAACCTTGTGTAACTCTGATTATGTGCAGGCATACATACCTGTCTCTTAAACCTCTTGGGCAAACAAAAGAGGGAGTTGGAGAACTCTAAAATGTGGTTCTATTTTTAGTTGATAAATTGTATCTTAATTATAGTAGTGTGCACCTTAGGAAAAAAAACATCCTGAATTAATTAGAATCCAGAATTTAACCTGTATACTTTGGAAGCTGATTTTTTTTTTCTTTTTTTTTGCTTGAGTTGGTGATGATCTGGAAGCTAAAACACTTCATATAGAAATAAATTAATCACTGTTCACACTGAGCAAAATTTAGCTAGGTATTAGAACTCAAGATGACTGAATGTCAAAGAACCTGGGTTTTGTAATAGCACCAAGACAAGCATCAAGCTGATTGGAAAATTATTATTTTTTTTCCTTAAGAAAGGTAAATCCTGGTATATTTATGACATTAGATTTTTGGTTTATTCTTATCTGCTTTCATGGATTTGATGTGCCCTGGGATCAAGATGACACATTGGAATTTAGTAGTTGATGGTATTTCTAAAGTCTTGAGAAACTTAGCTGATTTAATGGTAAGGACCCTCCAGATTGTTTTTGCACTGTCACATCACACACAAGCCATTGAAAGAGCCCTTCATTTTGTTTAGGTAGAGTTGTTTTCAGTAGGCATGACATTTTCATAAGGTATGATGGTATAAAAAAATTGTTATTACAAATCTTATTCGCCACAAACACAACTTCTTTTCTAGTTATATATTTACAGCAATTATCTTACACTAAATAATTAGAATTATAATTCATCTTATTACAGAACAGAGACAAAATTTTAGAAAGCATCTGCATTTTCTATTCAAGCCAGTTAACTGGGAAAGGCACTAGCCTGGATTTATATCTACTGTGTACAGATTGAAGCTACCACTGATCTGAATGTTTTTTTGTCTTGATAGCTTGCAGTAAATTCTGATAGTTACTAATATGTATTTCCCCAGAAGGATACTCAGTGTGAGTAATAATGCCTCATTTTCTCCTGAACATACTGTATACTTAAATACATAATTTATAAATAGCCTATAAAATGAGATGTATTTATTAATGCCTAAGTAATCATGGGAAGAATTGCTACATTGCATCAAATTTGAAATATACCATCAATGTTTCTACTGAGTTACTGATTTTCTTTTTTTCACAGAAAGAACAAACCATTCCTTCAAATATTACTCTCCTGCCAGTTATTAATGCTAGTAATATCAGCTATTTTCAAGGCTAAAACTCTGACTTGAGTCTCTTCCAAAGCTCTGTTGCCTTTTCCAAATTTTGTAGAACGTTTTTTTTTTCTTGTTTTACCTTTTTCTTAACACAGAACTAAGTTAAGACCCTTTTTCCACTACAGTGTCTTTTCTCCTAACAGAAATACTCTACACCCTTTCCACCTGTGAATCAGAATTATTATTATTAATAATAATAATAATATTTTTTTACTTTAGTCAAATAATAAGGTGTTCAGAATTGCCATGCAAGTGGGTGGGTGGGTACAGTCAGGGAAGTGCACAATTCTCAGAAAAACTCATGATTCAAATGATTATGGTCATAAAACTGCAAGTGGGGAAGGGGACATTGTGCTCTGTCTTTATGCAAATAAATACTTTTATGTGTTGCTCTGATGTTGAGGTGTTTGATCCAGTGATCTATTTTCTCTTTTGCTGCTGCTGGGCTGGTGGAGTGAGGGATTTGAAGCTTGTGTGATGCTGCCCATCCAGCAGACTCTCTTGTGATGATGTTCATGCAGCCAAATTTCTCTGTCAGGTGTCTGACAGGTTTTTAGTCCACTGCACTGTAGGTCTCAAGCTGGGTGTTGATGGATATTGCTTTCATTGAAATTAAAAGATTGGAGGAAAAAAAAAAAGCCCAATTATATTGATTTTTCCTTTTCAAGCACTTTTATATTATCAAAGTAACTTTCAGATTTTAATTTCAAAGGTCTGGTGTATTAAAATAACAGAAAAATGTAAATTGAAATAAAATGTTTTCCCTTATTAAGTCAATAACATTTCATTGATCAAAAACATATTTTTCTTTCTGAGAATATTGATTTAATATTATGTTGAAATCAGTGCTTGATAAGGATTGGAAATCTCTCTGTACTTCTGGTAGAATTAACCCTGAAAAAGAGATGGCGGCTCTTTCTCTCTCTAAAATAGCTCAAATCAATCTGAGCAGGCTGGCTTAAAACCCTTCCTCCATTTCACACATGTACTTTGCTCTGATTTACATTCCTAAAGCCTCTTTAGTCTATGTGCACTTGCTCCTTTTCCTGGAAAATTAGGACTATTCTCACCAAGAAAGGGTGAAGAGTTTGTTTTTAAGGGAGAAAGGTTGTTAGTATACAGTACACAGAAGTATATTTGTGAATTTACAATGCACTGCTAATTCCATGCTAATTTTCTCTGTAGACACTCATTACTTAATATAATTTCGACTGACCATAGCTTTCTGTTGCCTAGTGCTATGCTGTAAGTTCAAACCCTACACTGTCCTTCAATATCCTTCTAAGGCACACAAGCCCTTAAAATCATTCACCAAATGAGAGAAGTCACCAGAAAGTAAAAGGTTGCTATCCTGCAGTCCCAAAGAGGTCAAAAACCTTGGTGGATATAATCTATGGGATCTAACTCAGTGAATGCATATTATGGACAAAAGGCATATAGATTTGCAAAAAATCACCACTTTGTCTGTGTTTAACTCCATGGATCTTTAGTGAGATTATTTACTCAATGGCTAGAAGTTCTTTTCATGTATCTAATCAAAGTAATGAGCATATTGTGATATGCAATTAACTCTGCAGTTGCCCAAACATCTGGGGACAGATCTTTTGACAGCTCTGTGTGTATATTTGCATGTTTCTGTGTGTACAAACACTGAAGGAGGTTGTGCTTGTCAAACAGCGTTGTTAGGTAGTTTATATTTATTGTTGCAGTACTTGTGCTCGCCAAAGCTTTGACTTCAATCAAGAGGTTTGCATTCTTTAAGGAAAAGTATATGGGCACTTTTCTTTGAGAAGAGAACTTTGAGGCAGGGCAGCTAAACTTGTCCCCAATACCACAACTGATGTAAATATTCATTTGTTTTTTTGTGAAAAACTCTTATTCTTAGGATGTAGCTTTTAATGATTGAATGTAGGCATTGGTTTAATATATTAATTTTTGTGCACATACCTTGGAAATAATTACTTGATGTACAACTATCAGAGAAATTTTGAACTCCAGACACTTAAGAATGCAATTCTCTTACCATCATGTGATCAATTTTTTTTGATATAAAAACAGGAATCCTGGGTTAAGCATCATTGTTTCACATTGAGGATGCTTGGGAAACAGAACCTTGTTAGTTTTACTTTGTTTTTCTCATCGTAAGGAAGTGTGAGGCCCACACTCGCGGTAAGCAGTAGGAGTATTTGTTGGCCTTGCCTACCTTGGATCTCCAACAACCCCTTAAGAGGCTTCCCCTGCCAGACTATGGGCGTGAAATCGATAAGATGAATGTTTCAAACCAAATAGCTTACCTTTGTTTTTGATTCAGCCATCCATTCTGGAGGTGCATTATGCTGCAGCTCCCGGCGAGACGGGCGCTGCGGGAGCCGTGGGCAGAGCAGGCCTGGCTGCTGTCCTGATTAGATCACCGACGGAGCAGCAGGGATTTAAACAAAATTGCCCGGGCAATGGCTGCTGAGACAATCATTTCTTTAAAGGCCATAGAAGCGTGGTCAAGTGGGCAGAGTAAGAGTGTGGAAACAAAGTGTTTTGGGCTGTGTTCCTGCTTATAGATACGTCTAATTTGTCACCTGCATCAACTAAATTTTCCTCATCTGAAAAATGGAGATGAATCACTTATTTCTCATGACCCTAAGATGGCAAACTGCTACTTAGAGCAAACTTTGGCTAGATTTTTTGTTTACCAAAGTGAATAATTTCTCTGGCACCTCCCAGATGATTTCAGCTATGCATTGATTATTCTCTGCTATTGTGCATTACCTCAGTTTTAAACCTGCAAGTGGAAAAGTGGAGAAGAGGTCATGGAAATTAATGTACTTACTTATTACAACTAATAAGAAAACTTGTTGCTTTCATATATAAAGATGCACTTGTTAAAGTGAAACTACTCGACCTGCTATAACCTACCTGTTTTAGCAATTTAATTTATTGTTCTGGAAATCATTTAGCAATGGAGATTACTCATTTTCTTAAAGATGCCTAGATGGTAGGAGTAAATTTTTACCAATAAGGTTGAAATATTGGCGGTGTGCTTATGAAACACTATTATTTCAAGTCTGGGATTTTTTAATGAGATGCCTATGAAAAAACATCCCTCTCTAACAGCATCCAGGGTCTCATAACAGGCTTTTGTGTTAACATTATATTGTATTAATCTTTAAAATATGGAATTTTCTTCTGAAATTTATGATTGTTAATTTACACAAACATAGCATGTCTTACATTTGAAACTGTGTTAGAAAGCAAGAATACGATTTATGTTATCTACTTTCTTTCTTGAAGTGTAAAATCTACTTTTCTGTCAATGTGGTATAGCCAGAAATACTTTTTGGAAAGATACATTTGCTCTCTGCTTTTCAAAATAAAAATATTTGGGCAAGGTTTGATTTCAGGGTTATGTTCTGTATCTATATGCCGTATTTGATCCTCCTGGATTTGTATTTACAATCTCAAAAAATTCTTAATAATATTGAGAAGGCTGCATTAAAAAAAAAAAAAAATAAATCCTTAATTCACACTCCAAGCCTGAAAAAATAAGTTCTTACCAACAGCTTCTATCAAAAGTTAAATTCCAAGTTAGTTCATACCATTATTTACACATATAGTAATTTTTATATAAATTATGGCATTCTAGAAATTACTTTTTATTGAGCTACTGGGAACTCACTATTTTTTAGTCAATTTTTTTTTTTGTTAGGTTGAGGTAATAGAAAATATAACTGAAGTGTAAAATTCTCTTAGGAACTCCAGATGAATATTTTCCTGCCTAAGGGAGCAATGAGTATTTCTGCCTCAAAACTGAAAGAGCCTCTTCTTCCAATCTTGAAGCAAATCTTTATGTGCCATCTCCTTTGTTCGTTCTATAAAGTTTCTCTGTATTGCTGCTGTCAAAGATCGGATGCAACTTCTTTGCCTTAAAGGTTTGTCATATATTTAATAGGGTTTATTTGTAGTTAACCCTGGCATACCTGACTCCTCTATCAGTGTGCTTTTGGCTCAGGAGCTTTAAGGGGGCCCTAGGAGTGATTATGTCATCCTAACTGGGTAAGACATTTTATAACTGTAAATGAACCAGTTGCTGACATGAACTAGGACCTCAGGTGCCACACAGCACATGGTTTTTGTTGCAAAGCTTAAGAGAATCCTGCCAAAACCAGACTGGTAACAAAATAAAATCTCTCTTCAATAGCTATTGCCTTAAATCCTCTGACTCCTCTGTAGTGTGTTGTGTTGTAGCACCTTCCTTACTTTCAGAAGTGACAGATAGTTATTAAATAGAAGATGTGTTTTGGAGCCAGGATGATGTTAATGTAGGCAGAGTAAGGGAAGAGGATTGGAGAGGTGTTTCTGCAAGCCTGCTAGTACTATAATCCTGTGCTGAAGAAAATAGAGAAAAAGGACATTTTTTTTCCCTGCAGAACCTGCAGAAGGTGCAAAAATAAAGCAGCCAGGAGCAGAAGTAGTTTTTGCCATCATATATAATTTTAACCATAAGCCTCACCTCTCTAAATCTGCAAGCATAAACCTTTCCAAACAAGCGTGTGTATATACAAACACACACACACTCTCAAAATAGGTAAATTATCTTTGCAGTTACCCCAAAACTTCATTGTTGTGATGGTATAACAAGCAGATTTTGAACTCCAACCACCTCGCAAAGCAGAGTATTTCATTAGAGCCAAACTCCTCTGAAAGTGAAAATAACCTGCTATCTTGTGAACAATCTCAGGGCAGTTTACATGATTTTAATGAGTGCATAATTTTAAACATGGCCTTCACCATCTGCTCCACTGTCTTCACAATCAGTAAAGAACATAATGCATGACTGTATCATGAAATGAAAGATAAAAGTGCTAAGTGGTCCTTATTCAATAAAGTTTTAATCTCTTATGATTTATTTTTTTTCTTCCAAACTGTGGGAGTACTGGAGGATTGCTGTACCTGGGTTGCTTTCTTTTTAGTCTTAAGGGAAATGTGAACTGAATCATATTTTCTGGGTAAATTCAGATCTGTTGGCAAAATAGAGGGGGTTTTATATCGAAAACAAACAAAAATAAAAGTAGTAAAACAAAAGACTGTGCTGCAGAAATAACTGAATATTTCAAGTTCTGTGAATACAACAGGAGAGATGAGGAAGATGACTGTGGTCTGTGACAGCCAGTTCTGCTCAAGCATTGTGACAGTGCTCAGTGTCTGTCTGCTGGCTTTGGTACAGACTATCCATTGGACTTGTTGTGGGAAAGTGTAATTCCTCATAAATGTCAGCTCTGCCTTGGTCTGGTGAGCTTTTGGTGTGGTTTTCTTTTTTCTTCCTAGAACCCAAGTGAAGTCATGTCCAGAGCAGTCAAATCTGGTCCATGTCCAGGTCTGTCAGATCCAGGTCTAGGTCTGCCACTGCGTCCAGGTAAGGTCAAGTGAAGGCTGCTCCATGTCCAGGTCTGTCAGATTCCTGTGGAGTCCAGGTGTAAATCTCTCCCTGTGTCTGGGTCAGGTCAAGTGGAGTCAATTCAGCTCCAGGCTGCTAAGCCATGCTGCCCCTCCCTAGTCCCAGCTGCTCAGGGAGAGAAGATACAGTGATAAACAACTATAGGCTGAGATAAGACAATCTACTGAAACAAAAGCTAAGTTTACTCATTCACCAGCAAAGAGAAAAGGAAGATACTATTCTCCACTTCCCATCAGCAAGAACTATGCAGCACTTCCTGGGAAGCAGGGCTGCAGAGGGGAATTATTGTACATAAGAAATGTTCTCTACTTCCTCCTTTTCCTTGTTTTTATACCTGAGGTGACATCATATGATATGGAATATCCCTTAGCTTTTCTCTTGGTGAAAATAATCAGTGTAGTCATTTCAGTACCTTGGATCACATGGAGCTTGTTAAGAGTACTGTCTTAATCATTTCACTGGAAATTAAGCTACAAATCCTTAACAGATACTGAATAGAGATGCAAATTAGGCATTCCTTACCCATGGAATACTCTAAGGACTGTGTTCAGAACAGCACCAACATATTTGGCATTGAAGTTTGAGAGTTTGTGTCTAAGCTTTTGGAGTAAATGTGTGCTTGGGAATGTAAATATGAAAAGGTGAAGAAAGTCACTTTTGAAGGAAAAAAATTGAATGCACTTGTTTGGGAACCTGACTCTTTGTAAACATCCACACAGTCTGTCTGTGTGCACATGGGCTCAGGGAATCACAAATATTTCTCCAACAAGCTGAGTTTTTCACTTGCGAAAGCACTGCAGAATTGAGTTGTGGAAACATATGACCACTGTTTGCACAAAGGTTCAAGAATATGAAGAGATTAGGTTGAAGTCCAGGACAGTGTGATTGTTTAGTTTGAAAAGAAAAAAAGAAGTATGGAAATAAGAGATGCAACCTGTATAATTCCAACTGCTCACCTCTGCTTTAATACAGACTTGAGTTTTGGACAGAAATGTGAGTACCAAATATATGCATTAAAAAAAATAAATCTTGTTTGAGAGAAACTACAACTGAGTTTGTTGAGGGTTTGTTTGTTTGGGTTCGGTTAATGTATTGATGTCAGTCCCTTTAAATACTTTTTAAAAAAATATGGGAGGCCAGAGGAAGACAACAGAGCTGGGGAAGGGTCTGGAGCACAAGTCCAGCAAGGAGCACCTGAAGGAAGTGGGGGTGTGGAGCCTGGAGAAAATGAGGATCAGTAGAAACTTTATTGTTATTTACAATTACCTGAAAGGAAGTTGTACCTGGGTGGGCATCAGCCTCTTCTCCCAGGCAGCCAGAGATGGGATGAGAGGAGATGGCCTCAAGTGGTGCCTGGGGAGGTTTTGGCTGGTACTCAGAAGGAATGTCTCCATGAAAAGGGTTGTTGAATGTCTGAATGAGAGGAAGGGCAACAGCCTGCAGATGAGGCTAGCAAGAGTATGCTGATTGCCTCTGAGGACAATATTAAAATATATGTGTCATGGTTTTAAAGCATGAACTAAAAAAATCACTAGAAAACTTGCTTGTTTCTTCTGTAAGATATGGATTAGAACAAGAGCAAAACAGGCTTAAAACTTAAAAGGAACAAAGAAAGTTTATTAACAAAAAACTACAAGAATAAGAAACCAGAATAAAACTTCCAGAAACCCTCTTTTTCCCACTAGCCAGCCATTCCCCTGTTCACATGACAACACAGAGACAAAAGACTTGGTGGTTAAAACAGTCTCAATTTTGCATTGGTCTTTTTATCAGTCTTTGCAGAGAAAAATAAGTCCTTTTCTGTTAATCTATGGAGTTTTTCACAAGAAAACCATTTTCTTTGTGGCTTTCTATTTTTCTGATGGAAATTTTTCTGCCTGGAAATTCTGCCATCAGTTCTCTCCTCCCACTTCACATCACTCTGAAGTGTATTATGGGTCAATGAGTCAAGATGGGGTGTCATTTCTAAGGATGAGTTATTCAAAGGCAA